CAGGAGGTGCGCCGAACACACGGCGCTGGGCTGGCCCTCGCCTCGCCGGGCTCCTCGGTACGGCTCTATTGAGCCTTTGAAGTCGTGAGTGGTTTAGCCCCCCCAAGCGCAGGGCGAAGGAGGCGCGGAGCTAATAGCGAGTGATTCAGCTTATGAGGTACGGCCGAGCAAATAGAACCACTGAGCAGCCAGGGGTGAGGGGAAGCCAACCCCGAGGCATTTCGGTTCCCTTTTCTGTTTCCTCGACACATGGCATTGATCAGCTCGTTCTCCTCCATCCCTCCTCAGCCCATTTCTTAAAGTAACTCGCAGCAAAAGCTGTGCTGTGCGTTTTCTTTGCTAATGTAGGAGTTTGAGGCAAATTCTCTTCGAGCACCCCACGTCCTACCCTGACGGCTGTATCCTATCGCTCAAGTGCTTCTCGGTATTAAATAGCTTTGTGTTTAAGTGGACTTTCCAAGACAAGGCAGTAGCCTACCAGGGAGCTGGACGGCGGGGGAAGGGTTACTCCGAAACAAGCACAGACAGCCCGGCATGCACACAGACACACACTCATATGTACACACACTGAATGTGTACAGGAGAAATAGAAGGGTAGAGGGAGGGGTGTTGTTACCGCTTTAGGGCAAAAGGCGGTTTCTCCAGAGGTTTTTAAGTCTTTATGGCTGATGATGAAAATCAGACAGAACACTAGACGAGGTCCGTCTCTTCCCTGAGGGTTAGAGATTCTTTTATTCTGTGTTGTATTTGTTGAATACTGGTGCTGTGTATCTAAAAGTTCGCAAGGGAGGAAGGAGGGGAGAAGAAGGGGGTGGGGGAGGCGGGCTTGTCGGCGGCTGCACATGAAATATCGCCATGTTGGTGGAGAGCGCGGCTGTAATTATTGCTAGCGAGGGCATCTCCCAGCCCGGCCGCTCGGGGAGTTTCTCAGCTCACTTCCCGGCTTCCCCTCCGACACGCTCCGATACCCTCGGAGAGTCCCCGGCGCGGCGGAGCGGGGCGGTCCCGCCGCCGAGGACGCGCTGCGCGCACCTTCCGCTCCGCAGCGCGGCCCCGGCGGGGAGGCAGCGCGGGGAGCGGGGTCTCCGCAGCCCCAACATCCCCCGGCGAGGCTCAGCCCAGCTTGGTTCCCGCTGCTGGAAGCGGGGGAGAGGGGGAGCCCAAGCAGATGTAGCTGGCTAAATTGTCCTCAGCAACCTAGGGGTTAAAAGCAGCCGGGGGGGACGGGGGGACGGGGAGGGAAATAAGGAAAGAAGAAAAAGAGAAAATCTAGCCTGACTTTGCCTCTTGGAAAGCTTTAGGTTGCAGCCCTGCCTTCCAAGCATTCTTTAAAGTAGAAATGTGGGAGGGACTCCAGGAGAGAGAGAGAGATGGCTATCAACTGAATTCATTACTGTAAACATCTCCCTGGGGTGTCAGGCAGGGAGGAAAAAAAGGCACGACTTACATTAGCAGGGAATAGTGAGATGTGAGGCATCACTACTGCTAAGATCATCCTGCAATCCCGGCTGGAGGCAGGCGCAGGACTTGGAGAGAGCCAGACACACGCTCACAAATATACTCACATACATGTGTCCGATGCCTTCTCCGACTTACGAGGGTCCTGGGTCGCCGAGCCTACTCCTCATGTGATCTTTTCATCACTTCCAGAGGATAGAAAGAGACAAAAAAAAAAAAAAAAAAAAAAAGGGCAAACAACCAAAAAGACCAGAAAGAAAGAAACCCCGAGACCAAGCGTAGCCGCGGTTCCCTCTCGTTTATTTTTTTACCGGAGGAGGAGGAACGGCGGGGGAAAGAGAGAGCGAATCGAGGAGAGAAAGCGCGTTGGGAATGCCAGAGCCGCGGGCT